AGGTAGATAAAGAACTGAGAAAGTTGCAAAAATTTCGATTTCAATTTAGCAATCATATCGCAATCAAGCCTCGTCAAATGAATCGCGAAAGATTAGAATTTTCTAACTTCTAAAACGTATCCGTATTTTAATTGCTATGATTTTTACTATTAAGTCATTCAGAAAGTAATGATGTGTTTAACCAAACATGGTTAAGAAATGTTACTATCTATTACTTCCAGAATCGGCTGATAATTAAAATTCCAGCTAAGGGATTCAGCTTACGAATTCCTTTTACTAGCGAATTCCTTTGAGATGGATCTACCTCCATGGGGTCTGAAAAGCGTTCCGAGAGCCAGAAGAACGGCTCTGATTGCCAGTCACCGCAGGTTGTCCACGATCCAGGGACGCGTCCAGGGAAATCAGTTCAAGAGGGAAACTGGAGTGGCTGTTGAGAAATGCGGCCAGACTACAGGTCGCGCAATTTGTATCGGCCGGGATGCGTTTTTAACGATCGCTTTGATGGATGATGGCCGCGCCTGGCTGGCACGTCGATCGGGCCCTTGAAAAATGACGCTCAAGATCGTTGTGTACAGCGCTGCCAGACGCTCGAATCCACAACGTGTCACGCATACACACATTTAAACGCATACTGAGAATGGTTCGAAGCATATGGCAGGGGAAACGGCAGCTCCTTTTCGGTTAATATGTTTTCGCGATCCACAAAGCGCCCGGTTGGGAGTCAAAGACAATTAATAACCTTCCGTGGGATCATTTATCGCGACAGTTTAGACCCGAGGAAGAGGAAACCGCTCGTTCTCCTCGCCGCGTAACCTCGTGCCTGCCTGGCTTGCTCGTGAAGGAGGCTCCGGCGACGCACCGACCAGGACATTGTTCGTCTCCTCGGCCCGTGACCGATCCAATTTTTAACACCGTCTTCTCTGCCCTACTCTCTTTCTCTCTCTTGATCTTTACGCTCGATTTTCCTCAACCACTCGAGCTTACTCGTGAACGTGCAACGGTAACCCTTGCCACTTGTGGGAACACTCTTCCGGGATGGTGTTCGCGGAATTCGTTATGCTTGGGATCGAATGGAAAATCGAAAAGGTTACTAGTGTAACACGAGTCTATCGAAGAGTTTATTCGGATAATTTCGAGTTTGAAAAAATGAATAATTTCTATTTTAAGACTAATTATTTCCGGCCTCTCCGATAATTATGCAAAGTTTATTTGCGAAGTTATATTAAAAGTCGATAAACATGAAAACGAAGGACTTCGAGAAGATTCTAAATTGTAACACAAGGTTCTTCCAGTGTCAAAGGTGTGCATTCAGGAAACGTTCGAAGCAGTTATATGTAAATGAGCTGGAAGACAAATTGAAGTTCATTCGATATCGCAGCTGCTTCCTATGCACAATCAAAATGCATCAGGATGTTCACGGTTCTTCGTTCGAGCGATTTGCGTCAGGGAACAAGAAACATAGAATAAAAAATATATATATATCGAGGAGATCCCGAGATAACGCGGACGATCAGATGTTAAACTTTGTTTCGCCCGAGGTGGCAGTTACAGATCTCTCGCTAAGAGGTAGAATAAAGATGAAATAAGAGCGGGACGAACGGAGAGGGAAAGACTAACACGCAAGTTGAACCGTTAATAGCATCTTCCAGGTGCATAGATTAGCGCGTGTGCGTGACAACGTATAAACACGACGCTTTGCAGAATAAAGAGTTGCCGTCAGCCAAAGAATCGCATGATCCTCCGCTAGCCGTGCACACCGTTCAACTACGGTGAAGAGAACTATGCGAAAATTTTACTCTGCCGCGTGAAAATTATTTTCTACAATAACAATGATTCATGACAGCACGAGATCATTCGTTCCGCAAGTTTCATCGCAACATAGTTCATTTTCCAAGCTAGTTACAAATCTTCCGCGTCCAATCGCGCGTCTCAACCGTCCGCGTTTTACACGCGAACAGATAGTCGTATTCGAACAATTCCCGCGCCATAAAGCCCGCTTTAATTACACGCTCCACTGATTTACGCTCGTCGACTCGGTGTACGAACGTAGGTCGCCCTACAGAAGATTTTAATGCTCGCGCTTTTCCGCCGTCGAAACGGCACTCTATGCGGTCCGCGCTCGCGACTCGCGAACCACCGCAATTTAATCTCCCTTTATACAGCGATTAAGTGGCCCGCCGTTGATTTACAATATCGTAAACGCGCGACACTAACGGCCGTTGCAATATCGCACAGAGAACCGACCTTTGAAGCTCGTACACTCGGAGTGCTCTCGAAGAATAAGATAAAAGATATTCTCCTATTTTGTATAATGTCAAGGCTAGTTCTGTGAAAAAATTCAGATCAGTGCTTTAGATTATAGCGGTGAAAGAAGATGAATCGAGGTCTAGTATAATTATTACATTTACATTTGAGTGGCAAGAAATTTTCACACGGATTTAGAATGTATTTTAAATATTTAAAAGTTGGATCGATAAAAAATACTAAACATTGCAAATTAGTATATTTACTAGATTTAATGGAAATAAAATGAGTATACGATTTTATCTCGACATTTAAAGTATTAACGCAGTTTTGCCCATTTCAAACTGCCTTATCTTTGCGTTTGAAACAAAGTAGAGAAGCGAACTCTGCTCGAAGTAGATTTCTGGCCGCTTTCTAGCAAGACCGTTCCGAAAACCCGATAAGAGCAAGTCCTTCCGTTGTTTCTCCGGTGAAAATGCAAATGGAAGGAAACGGCACGAAGTGTGATTCCCTGTAATTCGCGAATTATCGCGGCACGGACAAAGTGCATCGGTTCAGATTAGAAAAGTAACGGGCCAGCTGGATCGGACAGCACCGTGTACCGTTAAATGCATGTCTCGTACTATCGAGATAAAGGTTGCCTGTTAAACGTATTATCCTCTCGAAATCAGTTTTTCGCGAACGTCCGCGTAGATTCGCCAGATAGAGAGCCGAATACGACGTGACCCGGTCGAAAGGGCTCGGATTCGAGGGATATAACGTCAGCACCGTTCCTCCGTGTCAACCAAGGGCAAAAACGAGATAATACGCGTACTTGTCGAGAGACAGTTTACGATTTCCGTCCCGAAAGGGAGACGTCGAAAAGGCGTTAAGTCAGATCACGACCCTAGCTACACGAGGGTTGATATGCAAATGAAGATCGACAATTCTTAGTCCGCTCAGAACCGTTGATTGTTCCAAAAAAAAAGATACCTTCGAAGTTCAAATTGACGTTCATCGAAGCCTGGACTTCATCCACGAAACCTAGCCATTATTTATGTTCGCACTTTCTCCCGACGAGATGGTTGTTTTCAAAGCGCGCCGTGTATGCGCATAATGGCTGCAGTTTTTTATTAACTTTCTCTTAAAACTAGCTCTTCGACTGCGTAATCGCCGAAATTACGATGCGGAGCAATTTACGCTCGCAAAGATCGTATCGTAAACGTAGAATTTCGATGGAAGAGTCTTGAATGAACGAAGAGACACTCACGGGGCACTGTGTGTAACGAACAGAGAAAACCAGGCTTATTTTCAAAGGCTTTCAAGCTTCTTTCGACGTACAAGTGGGTAATAACCGTATGAAAAGGCGACAATGGTGGCTGACACACCGCAACCAGGTTAAAAAAGAAGTGGCAGGAAAAAGGAGGGGGGCAATAAATATATTTTGACATGGGAGAAGCTGGTCGGGCAAGCTATGCATAATAATTGTAACGCTCGACCCGGCTCGAATCGTCCTCTCTTTGGATAGGTCGCACACGTGCGTGTACGGTGCCGGTGACTCTTGCTCGCTTTTATGCCACCGACAAAAGTGTCGGGCTTTGTGTGACCCGAATTACGGTACTGTCTACCAGTAGGCAAATATTATAGCAACAGGCGGCCGCGAGGGGTGACGATAATGTTTTCATTTGCGACTAACCCCATCCGACCGCACCAACTCGATCGCGAGGGTTTCGTGGCATGTACTTACTTCGAAGTGCGAAAAAAGAAGACAAAGGTCGTGCACAGATGAAAAATTGCGGTTTATGATGTAGATTTTGTGTGACGGTAAAATTTTTGTCGGATCAACATACTCGAAAGATAATTAGTTGTAGGAAAATATTGTAACTGGATTTCTAGACGTATCTATATTAACGAAGAATGATTTTTGTTTCGTTTATTAACAGAAAATCCTTGTCTACTTCTATCAAAAAGGAGATATTAAGAAAAGAAAGCAAGAGGAAAGGTTATTTAAGAAGCGTTCAATACCCCTTGATTGAGAAGAACTGGTGTTTCACTAAAAGCCATACTTGTCAAAACTAAACGAGAAGTAATACTCAATGTAGATAACAGCGTCCGTTGTTAAAGCAAAACGGGGCTAGCGCACGCGGTCTCACGGTTTTGCAATTATATTCCAATCAAAATTTACTAGTCGAAAGGATATTTTTAACGGTCAAAAGCGTGCTTACGCCGCTATTAGGTTGCATTATCAATTTCACGCCGTGGTATAATCGCGAGCAACGCAGCCACTTTGGATGTAGACTTTAATTTACGAGGGATAAATGGAGCGGTGAATGGACTGTAAGATTGACGAAACGCCGGTGATTACCGGCTGAACGCGAGTGATTTATTTTCTAGTTTTTATAACTATCATTAGTCGGACCTTTTCGCCCCCTCCCTTCGTACCTGTACCTATAGTTTCTCCGTGTCAGACCTATCGTTTCTTTGCGCGACGTTCAGAAACCGGCGATAAACTTGCATACGAGACGAGTTGCATTTTACATCATATGAATGTATAAAAAATAAATTTACGACACGGAATACAATACACCCGTTGAACACTCGATTTGCAATGCAAGAAGTCACTGTATTAAAGACGAGAAAGTTTTAACGCTCGGAGACATCAACGCCCGGAGAAGCGCGTCGGGGACGTCAACGCGTGGAAGAGCGCGTCGGGGACATTAACGCCCGCGCAGTACACGCGATCATCGATATCTCGAGCGGTATCGGAATTCACTCACCTTCGTAGTCAGACGATATCCACACGAGGGGCCCAACCGGTGTCCTCAGCTCACCACAAAACCAACAAAACCTTCTTCTCCGGATCGACCGAGTCCTCTGTCACACGTTACACACCATAACCTTAGTTTGTTACCGTTCGACGGAGCAAGCTCGTCTCCCGCGAACGTTCTTCTACCCGAGACACACACTGCCCGCAAAATTGTTCTGTCCTGTCGCGGTCGGTCACGTGGCGTGGTACATCGCACGCTGCGCGCACGTTTCCACCTCGACAGCCGCGTCCACGAATCGTTCACCTGGTAACCCGTTCCCGACCGATCTGACCCTATCGAAGGACCGAAGGTCAACTAAGAACCGTTCTCTTCGATGCAAATCCGTCGACTGTCCACGAGATGATCCACGCGAGTCCCAACGTGATTCCCTTCGTTTGTCTCTCTTCCTCTTTCTCTCTCTCTCTCCACCGATTGGCCGTCCTCGATTCAACGATTTTTTTCTATACAGGCAAGCCTGTTGTCTGTCTCTCTCGAACATCCACGAGTCACGGTGCGGCCACGTCGATGGACGGGAGAGGACTGGCGCTTCGCGATCGCTACGACCTGTTCGACTGCATCGAAGGCGCATAAGGAGAGCCACGGCGAACCGACGGGAACCGATTTTCCCCTAGTGGCAGGGGCCAGCTGTACCTGCCCATCGGTGCACGCCTGTCCTCCTGCCCGCCAATCGGCCCCTCTTGGGCCCGATCGTTCCACCAATCCCGCGCCGTTCAGTCCCAGGAAACCGGCTGCCCAGGTGCCACCCATCGATTCCCCACTTCCTGCTATCCTACGCTCCTCCACTCTCCGTCGACTCGACCGTTCCTCGTGCTCTCTGCTGACCAAGTCCCCGCAGACAACCGATCGCTGCCTGCGATGAACGGGCCAGCTTTCTTGCTCTGAGAAACGATCGCTGCCGTTCTGAGATGATGTCTTTTTATGATAGAACAACGACCGTCTTTAGACCTGCAGCGAATTTTCTTTTTATCTTCTTTATTTTCTTTAATCATTGATTAACGGAATGGAATTGTGATCCAGATTCACGAAGAATGTACAATGGTGTTTCGAATTAAATTAGACGCTCCAGTTTTTAAATAATAGAGTTTCATACATTGGAAAATAATATTTTAGGAAATATTCTGCACCCATGTAATTTAGTAGCTGGCTTGCAAGACATAAAAACAGCTATTACTTAGTTGCTGCTTCAATTAGCGTACAGATTCGATAAAGCAAATACCGAGTATCGATCTTGTCGCTGGGAACGAATCCACCTTACGAAATCGCAGCAGCAATTAAACACTATCTAATCGCAATCAGAGGAACCATGAAAAGAACCAGAATGAATTGGTCTGTGTCGACCTGTTCAAATTTCTCGAGGCAAAGGCACGAGGAATCCGAAGAGTTACAGAAACTGGTCGACCCAATAAAATGTCGAAAGGCGTTCAAAGGGGAGAGCAGGAGGGCAGGAAGGACGGGGTTGGACGGCGCCATAAATTAAAGAAGATGTCCACCCGTAGAAATTAAACCATAGGAAACTGGTTTCGAACGTAAAACGCTTCTTCTCCTGCTCTCGATCCTTCGTTCTATCTCTCTCGTTTCTCTACGCGTCTTTGTCGTTATATTTGACCCCTCTGCCCGCACCTTGACTCTATGAATCCTACCGGAGACCGCTGCTTTTTGTGGCCGTCTCTTTTCCCTCGAATCGAGACTCTCCCGCTTCCTCGTTTAACGACCGATTTCATTTTATCGAGATAATACCGAAGTAGAAGCGGACTACGAATCTGAGAAAGTCCGCTATGTTCGACCGGGTTCTGGGGCTTTTTTACGAGCCAGATAGCCGATGATGTCGACGTCGATTCTATAGTACAGGAAAGATATCGTGAACTGTTCGTTGGAATAAAAAATTCTGAAGAAAGTTGTGGTTTACGTGATTCAACGTCAATTGTGATTGTACCTCATTTGCATTGACTCAAAACAATTTTTAGTCAACTCATGTCATCGTATAATCAAAGCTTCTGAGAGATGGCAACAATTCATAAGCAACTCTAAAACTCTCCCAGAGTATTTCTACGGAGATGACAATAAAAAAGAGGAGCAGTCAGAGATTTCGTTTACACGTGTTTTCATCGCCATAAATAATTTATCCGCTTTTGGCAGTAGACAGAGCTTACGTGAAAGAACTGTACGGTATGTCCGACGGTGTGTAGCAAACACGAGAGGCGCGGTAAGCAACGTCAGATTCGTGATCAATTGGCCGTACTTAATCCGGATGTATTTACGCGTCCGTCCGTCGATCTGGTGCTCCTCTTCGTTTTGTCTGTCGCTGTCTCGTCCTTATGTGCATGCTCGTTCATGCAGAATCCCTTCCCGAGGAAGCAGATGGGGCTAATATGAACTCGATTCTGCCCCCGAAGATATGAACTCATTCGTTCGAGCGAGCACGAAGGTGTCTGCCCATCGACACGGAAAGAAACGAGATTTATCGTTCTTTCTGCGTGGAGAACGGTCACCTCTTGTCGCGTGAAACGGCCTCCTCGAAAGCTGGGGTCGAGAGCAGTGTCATCGTTGCGTTCTTTTTTCTATTCGACAAGTTTTTTTTCTGTTTGTCTCTTGTGTGACAAAACACAATGTGAAAATATCGTTTTCGAGTTCTTTTGATTATTACTCGATGTACAATACCATTGCAATATATTTTATAACGGGGGTACCATAGCAAGACATGTTTCACAATAAAATAATAAAATAAAAAGAAGTTTGGTAGCAAAGTTTCGAAGAGCCAAATTCGTTAGTATACTCGTTATCAAAAAATCATCCAAACTTTTTCAATTACTGCATTTATTATAGGTAATTGAATCATTCTCTGATACCACATTTCCGGTACAAGTACGTTTTCCACGAAACCTCTCAATTCCATCGTGCACACGTTGTCGCCGACAAGTCTGAACGCGCGATCGCGACATCGATCTCCGATCGCGGCGCGATCGATCTCCCCGTAGCAAGACGATTACAAACCGCTGAAATTCAGTCTATCCGTGGAGCTGAATTATGACGTTCGAGCGTTTGCAAGCGCGACTCGACAAGCATCGTGGCTGGTATTCGCGAGATTTCAGGAACGCGGGAAGGATTAATTGAATTCCGCGGGCCAATCCGCGTGCAGCGCTGAAAACTGGCACTCAATCTCGTTAATCGAAAGCGCTGCGGAATGTCGTAACAGCTTGGCGCGAGTTGCACACCGACGCGCTTATGTGAAACGCCGCGCCGCGACGTCGTTCGTCGTCGCGGTAATCGATTACCGTGGCCGGATTATTAAGCGGGTCCCCACGAGCGTAGAAAACGCGTCCCGACGAGGTCAAAGGGACACGGACCGGGACGAGAAGCGACTTCTCGCTGCGAAAACTCTTCGAGGATCTCACAGCCGGCACCTGAGGCGGCTTCAGGAATCGTCGATCCCGGCGTTAAAGTCTCCGGCCGAACGTGAACTCGCGCGCGCATCGCGTTATTAATCGCGAGCCAAGCTAAGCAGCGTGCAATTCGTCAAACCACGTCGCGGATCTTTGGAACGGTTCGACAGGATTCGCTGAATGAAACTTTAATTGCTGATAAAAGTAGTATTGGAATTTCTCGGCTTTTCAATAAAACCCTGACCTTTCCTTGAAACTAGTATTTAAATTTGAAGCTTGGTAATTAGCGCATTCAAAAATGATAAAAATTCATTTGTAATTGGTAGGATAACATTCTGGAGCATCCCATGATTCGAAGAAAATATCAACCCTGGTTTCAATGTTAGCAGAATACGTCCAAGTATCCTTCAAGAATTTCCGCAGATCGGGGCACACAAACGGCGGGATTAACCCCGAAGAAGATCAGAAGCTTAAAACGAACGGAAAGCGATAAATTCCAAGCCCGTGTCGTTTCGCAGTCGCAGTCGGTAAGCCATGGTATCCGTTACAGCGGCGATTTGCGAGGCTCGACGAGTATTTCGCACAGACAGGGGCTCGTCGTTTGCCAGCGGGACGAAAAAAGGTGCTTTAACGAGCCCTAATAGGATTCGTACTAGCGTGGATTTCTTTGGGAACCCGAAAGGGATTCCGGTCAAAACGTCGTTAGTCGTCCGAGATCGTTCGAACAGCATGAGCCACTTTGGACTCGTGACCCAGCAAGGATCCTTTGGTACAGGACCTCTGTTGCGGGTAGGTGTCCTGCGTGAATGGTCACTCGAAAACGAGCTCGTTCACCGGCCAAAAGATGTTTGCCCACAATACGATAAACGCGTTTCGATGATGCCCGAGAAACATCCTTCTTCTGACAACCAGTCGTTCCACTTGCCCTTCATTTTTCATTCGAACCGACGATACTTTTGTCTAAGATGATGGTTTATAGAAGTTTCTCGGTATCGAAGGTCTGAAAACGCTCTGAGATATCTATAATAAAATCTTGTACCCAAAAACTGTTGCCCACCGATCAGCGACGATTCGAAAAATCGAATATCCCCGGGATATCGGCAAAAGGATTCAGCGAGTCCACGGAATCTGCAGCACGGTTTCAGCGAGGATCCGACACGACCTGGCCGTAGATCATTGAAACGTATATCCCATGGATCGCGGGGTGTACCTGTACCGCTCGCAGCCCGTGGAAGGACACAAAGTAGATTCGAGATACCGACGATGCACTCGCAGTTCCCGTGGGGTCGTGCCGGTCGCGCATATGGCCGCCGCTTGACTTCCAGTTGCTTTCGAGATCGAAGATTCGCCTACGCCCATTCCCGCGGAAGGATACCGCCAGCGTTTCGCCGAAGGACACGCGCACGATCGAGATCCTGTTTCCCGCGGATCACTCGAAATAATTCGTCGGGACCCAGGCTGAAATCGATACGCCGATGTACGACGCCGAAGGGGCTAACGGTCGCCTTGGCCCGAAGAATTATTCGTCAGGGGTGCAACCGGGCACCGACGGTGATAAGTCTGCCGATCGCGACTGTCGTCGTTTGATACCGTGCTCTCGTGCTGTTCACGAGGGGCCAGAATCGTGGCGAGTTGTGTTTACTTTGTGTGATCATTTTTTAATACAGAAGGAAACCAAAGTTGGGTATTATTGGAATATTAGGTCTAAGAAAGTTTCTAATTTCGAAATTAGAAAAAAATATATGTTTCAGATTTTATAAAATGAGAGTAGCAAATTTTAAAAACCTTCTTGAAATCTACAAAAGATCAACCGAAAACATCCCCTTTCTTTATCAGCCCATGATTTTCCAAAATCATTCATCGTTGAAGGACCTCTGTTTAGCCCTCCAGCATAAAAAGAAATCCCACTCGAGATGACTGGCAGAGGGTGCCGATTACATTTTTCGAATGACGAATCGACAACGATCGGCAATGATTAACATCGATCGTGACAGTCGAGGATTGGTGACAAAGTGGCCTAGGTCTAACTAGACCTCGACATCTGTTCGATTTGTCACGGAACGTTTTTCCAACCTACGGGATCGACCCTAGGCAGCCGTCTCGAGATCGTCTCTGTGGATAATTGTTGAATACCGCTAATGAGAGTCTAGTAGCGAGCAACGCGTCGAGTGCTCTCGT